AAGTGACTACAACCTTGTCCCTTGTCAGCTCTACTATATGCCTGAGAATTCTCAGAGAACATACAAATATACTTGTAGAAACATTGTCTGTCAACGCTATACATGGTCATGGGCACACTCTTCTCTGCATGTACATAACTAATAGTTCAGCCTATCTACCCGTCTATTCACCTGTAGGCCACTGTTTGCTTTCACTGACAACACAGTACTGTATGTCCAGAAGGGTTCATCTTTGTCGTCTATATCTTCCGTGCACCTCTCTATGTCTTCCTCTTCCTCAGTGCCACCATGTTGATCACTCACACTTGGTACATTGCCCCTCTCTTCATCCAAGTCAGTATTTGTCTCTTCCTATCTAACAGTGTTCCTTCCCCTCCTCTTCCACCCCTGGTAACCAAGAAAGAAAATTTCATTCCACATGTAAACCTTTGCTTGACTTTTTACAATAATGGACTAATAGAACAATTGTCCTTCTGTGATTGACTTATTTTAGTCAACATAATGCCCTCCAAGTTCATCCATGTTATGCAGTGTTTTGCAGATTCTACATTATTCTTTAGCATTGCATAGTATTCCATTGTGTGTATGTACCATAGTTTGGTTATCTGTTCTTCTGTTGATGGGGTACCGAGGTTGTTTCCATCTTTTTGCTATTGTAAGTAGTGATGTGATGAACATGGGTGTGCATATATCTGTTCTTGTCCTGGCTCTCACTGTTTTAGGATATATACCTCGTAATGGAATGTCTGGATCAAACGGTATTTGTATTCCAAATTTTTAAGGAATCACCATACTGCTTTCCACAATGGTTATATCATTTTAAAGTCCCACCAGCAGTGCATGACAGTCCCAATCTCTCCACATCTTCTCTAGCACTTGTTATTTTCTGTCTTGTTGAATTTTGCTATTAGTGCTGGGGTGAGATGTATCTTGTTCTTTTGATTTGCATCTCTCTAATGACTAATGGAGCTCTGGTAGCATAGTGGCTAAGACACTTGCCTGCTAA